ATGATGGCTGCGATCACAGCAATGGCCGCAATGGCTGTCCTTTTGTTGATAGTATGGCTGAACACAACTCAATGCAGGGCTACAGTTGGGCCCACAGTCGCAGCACCACTACTGCACACCCACTGCACCACTGCGAGCTCACATCGTGTTGAGTCATTTGTGCCAAACGCCGACACTGTATGCTATAGTGAAGGCTGAGAGTAGCCATAAACCACTCCTTTCTTTGCCATACATTTGAAAAACGTCACAATAAATGGCATTCAATGCGACCAATCGCTCACTACTATAATACTACCACTACTTGTACTACACTTACATCAACCCTATCACACAAATACATTGATTCACTTTTGCCACAAACTTATTGAAGTTTTTCCAACTTTTCTTTCAATTTGCAATTTAATTATCTAATGATTTGTAAATTTAACTTTTACTTTCATACTTTTTAAATACACTTCCCATTAATTAATGAGCAGGCATATTATCAATGAGTGATCAAAATATGAATTAATACTCTTATCGCAAGTTTTGTAGTTGTATTGGTTATGGAATTATCGAAATAAACTTGTACAAACTATTAAGTTATTGGGAACTATTCATTTCTAAATGATTATTGAGTGTTTGTCTAAATTTGATAAAATCACATCATTCAATGTTATTTCATTATCATAAACTTTCATTACTGTAGTATGAAATCAACTCACATAAGACTTTAAACAATTCTACTGGATAAAATAACAAAATAAGTTATCATACACTGTATTTGTAATGTCTATCATATAACACAAGTTTTACTCAATGAGTTTTGAAATTAATTTTAATTTAATTAGTTACAATTTATTATGAATTATGTGATTCAAATTAAAACTATAAATACATTACCGGTATACATACTATATTTGCATCTAAAATATGTATTTAAAACAAATTTTAAACTATTTTTTATAAGCATTATTAACACTGAAAACATTGCATTGCATATCTTGTTGAATAATGTTAGTGCTATTAATTTGATTTAAAATTTACAATCAATTCTATCTAATAATTGTTGCAGAATCTCAGGTCACTTATGTTTAGTTTTTGTAGGAACTTATAATTGTGCCATAAACTAATTTACAGTTTATAGGTACATTTTAAAGTTAGAATATAATTACAGAATAAATTCATTTCTATTGCTGAATTAGTGACTCGAAATCAATCATCAAATATATGAAATTTAAAATTAAGAATAAGTTTATAATTAAAATTAAGAATAAGTTTATAATTAAAATTAAGAATAAGTTTATAATTAAAATTAAGAATAAGTTTATAATTAAAATTAAGAATAAGTTTATAATTAAAATCTTTGAATGGATTGATGGCACCACAGATGGAGCACTGGTTTCCATAGACTAGTGAACACAGAATCGGAATAATTAATGCCTGTATTGCAGAACAATATATAGCCTATTATATTATTTGCTAATTTATTCTGACGACTAAACTATTTGAATATCACTTATTATAAGCTATTTATATTAGCCATTTATATGTGTGAACCATCTGTTGATCTGTTGATAATCTCTTTACGATCTTATTATCTGTTAAATAATTTATTAAAATACTATAACTTCATTTTCATAACAATTTGATACACACTAAGTCCAGGTGCCGAACAGGTGCCTCAATCATCCACACCATACATCTCGGTGTCATAGACTAGACCTGTAGTTATCCTTACAGTTAGACAGCAAAAAGCAGAGGAAGTGAAGTGAAGTTCACTACAAATTCTGTACAAAACTATTAATTCCTTGTGAGCGCTGTTCTTATGAAAGTGTTGTTCACATCGTGTTATGTGCCGTAGAATACACTCAATTCATTACATATGCTTTCAATTGTCTAAAAGTTTTTGTCATAAAAGTTTTGCTGCATTCAAATGGTTGGAAAATGTTTTTAGCAAATATTGATCACTTATTTCTCATTGTCCTCTGATATAAAGGTTTGTTTTGACAGAATTTTTTTCAAATATCATTTAATTTAATTAACAATAGCTTATCTTATAGTACGGTATAATGACTTTTTATTTCCATTTGTAAAATGTATACAAAACTTGTTTTTATCGAAATTATTAGTGTTTGATATCATTTATCAAATTATTATCACTAAATCTATTCAAGTTTTAAAAGTAAAAATATACCACTCCTATTTGTATGTATAATTTATTTAAATGAATATAAATCATATCAAGCATACATATTTTTTATCAAATATTTTCTCGTAAACTATATTATCGATGAGAAAGTAAGTCATTCATTAAAAACTATTATTTTTTAGCTAAACATAATTAGACTAATTATTTTGCAAAATAATTCAATTTGTAATATTATTTTTTATTTATTAATAAAATCTACGCTATTTTAATACTGTACCATTAATACCAAATTCCCTAGTTATTGTAACTTTTCTATAAATACCTCACAGATTTAATCAAATGTATCAAATTGACATTTTTATTAATCAGGTTACGATTATATTTAATGATTGACGCTTTAACTAATGATAAGCAATTATTTTATTTTTTATAAAAGTACAAAAAGTATATGGTTTTATGTCATCCGGTATTACTGTTACACCTTTATTTTTGTATTACTACAGTATTACCGGTACTAATATTATATTAGATCAACATTGCTATTAAAACTAAATCATTATATCATTGTTTGGACCTTAAAACCATTTTCCAAATAAAAATATTCCATAAATTTTAAATGAATAGTCAATTGATTAACCATTAGAGGTCTGTTTGTAATTAAGATAATTCTATTGTATTCTATAATCTTCTCATTCATTCATAATTAATAATGTTTTGTTTCATTTGAGCGAATATGTCACAAAAAAGTATACTAATAATAATTGTAACAAATAAAGCGATATTATATGAGATATGTATTTAACTGTCATAATATGATAATCCTACAAACAAATACAATATCGTGTGGAATTGAGATATATTTTGCTAAATAAACAAATGAAGCAAACAAATTTAGGTTAAAAATGTTTTGTCAAAAACTAATTTCATTTTTTACTTGTTGTCCTTCAAAATCCTTCGCTCAAAAAAAACAAACGGTTTTATGAGAAATAATTGACGAGAAAAAGCGTTGAGAGGAATGAGGAATGAATTTTGAAAAACAAATCAAAGCCAAAGCAAATCCCCCGCAAAACGCCCGCAAGAATTGTCACTGAATTCTACTTATATAGTAGTTGTCCGTCGAGTTTAAGCCATAATTTATTTGAATTAACACTTATATTACACTTGTATTATGCAAACTTTGAGTTTGATTTACTGTATGTTCAAGTATTGTTCTAACATTTCTCTATAAGAGTTTCTCATATAAATGCTTTTTATGTAATTTCTATTTAATAATATACTGTACTATAAATAGACCTTGCCAGTACACCTTAAATAAATATATGGCTTTATCATCACATATTTCATTTAAAGGCTATATCATAGAAACTTAGAGACACAGATTTTTTCGATAAAGTTTATTTATAAATACTTATATACTTTTTAAATGTTATTTCAATTAGCGATAAAAATATCTGCAAATAAAGTATAAAGAGTTTGAATATTAAGTTAATTTTCAAACAAAATTAAACTTGAAGTACAGGATAAGGTGTTTTAATTAATTGCATAAATATTGTATTCATTCAAATGAATTTTTAATAATACAGTATTTCAATATTGAATTTATTTTGAAATTAGGTTAATGCTGTTCTCGATATACAGTATAATATTATCTTTTTTGGTTTCAATGATTAACAAAGAGTACAATAACTGATCACAAACTCATATACAGTATAAATTTATTTACAAAATAAGCTGAAAGTTACGAAAAAAGTATTTCTTCGTAAATCTTTATATATAAATATCGAAAGAATTTTGCATTAATTAAGAAATAATAGTAACTTTTTCCTACACTTATACACGCGTGAAGTCATGAAAAATACTTAATATTAGTTGTTTAATGTTACCTTTAAACATTTAGTATGTTGTATTCTTAACTCAAACTTATATTTATTTTAAATGGTCAATTAATTATTTTATATATATATCCCAACGTTAAATATAGTATTAATATATGTTAATAAAACTTGAAATTCAGACCAAAGCAATGAAAAGTTTAGCACAGAATTGATTACATTGTTTGCAACTCTACTTATAATATGTCTCAAAGAATACCTGTTTTATGCAAATTGTGGTTAAGATGTATTCATATTCTTATGATTTGATAACATCATAATCAGTATATCATGAGATGTGATGAGGCTGAGCTCATACCCAATACCGGTCTACACAATGATGCGACCGATTGTTACCTATTATCGGTTTGTCGTTCAAAGAGGAACGGCTACTGAAATGATGTGAAACACCTTTCAGGTAAAGAAATAATCGGTGAATATTAGGAGTGAAAGATTGAAGACAAGGCCAGAAAGCAATAAAAGTAAATAAATAAATAAAATGTGCGCCAAATATAGTATGAAAAGTGTCTAACTATTAGTTAACTGCAGTTATAATGCATTGGATGTGAGATAAGCGTCTAATGAATGAATGAACGAACGATTGAATTGAATGTATGGTTGAGTGCAGTGTTTGTCGTCATTGGCTTTCAGTTGAGTTTGAGTTCGTGTTGAGAGAAGTGTTTGACTTATGGTTTGCATAGAATTCAATACAAAATGTCATTCAATGACTATATGAAGCATCACTTCTCGCTGTCTCTCAAATGATTTTCATTTATTTTAGTCTTTATTTCAAATATTATTTTATTTCTTCGCTTATGTTTTAATTGTATTATCATTTCTGGCCTTTTGTTTGCCTCTCAATGTAGTCCTCAGCTGTGAATCCATGCAATTCAATGCAAACATGAGTTTTGTGTCCAAATTACACGACTTAACCGCATAGTTGTCAACAAAACCAGTGATTTGTTGCCACAATCGACACACAAATCGCATAATTATCTCATTTATCGCCAACACATACCACGAAGACATGGAGCAGGAAAACAACGTTAGGGTTGCGCTCAGGTATGAGATAATTGGATGTCTTGATTGGATGGGTTTGTGGTAATGAATGTGTTTTGCATCGATGGTAGGATTCGGCCACAACTGCCCAAAGAAGTGATAGACATGTGTAAGACGTGCACAAGAGTCCTACCAAATGAGCCACAGGTATGGCTCGGAGCAGATAAGGCCTTCACATACGACCACGTCTTCGACTCCAACTCCAAACAAGAGTCCGTTTACGAAGACTGCGTCCAAAAGCTCATCGATGGGTAAGTGTTGACCACATCTTTGCAATCAATGGTTCCAATGGTTGACTGAATTGGTGTGTAAATCAGTTGCTTCGAGGGATACAACGCCACAGTCTTGGCCTACGGACAGACCGGCTCTGGAAAGACGTATTCAATGGGAACGGGTTTCGACATCGGATCCACTTCTGAAGAGAAAGGAATCATTCCTCGAGCTGTTGAGCACCTCTTCAATGGTATAGCAGAGCGCCAAAGAGGAGCCCGAGAACGTCGGGAACCGATCCCTGAGTTCAAAGTGATCGCACAGTTCCTGGAGCTCTATAACGAAGACATCATTGACCTCTTGTCCGACGAACGATCCAAACACTCGCAGATTAAAATCCATGAGGACTCCAATGGAGGCATTTATATCAATGGTGTCAACACTAAGACAGTGCAGACCATTGAGGAGACACTTCAGTGCCTCAAAATGGGAGCCCTTTCACGTACGACAGCCTCGACTCAAATGAACGCCCAGTCATCTCGTTCTCACGCGATCTTCACTCTTCACGTCAAACAACACAGAGTGACACAAATTGATGAATCATTCGGCGAAGAACTTAATGAACAGATGAACACCGATTTAGGCCCTCAAGAGTTCGAGACACTGACCGCCAAATTCCATTTTGTGGATTTGGCCGGTTCTGAACGGCTCAAGAGAACCGGTGCTACCGGTGAGAGGGCTCGAGAGGGCATATCCATTAACTCCGGTCTGTTGGCGTTGGGGAATGTCATCTCTGCGTTGGGAGATAAGGCCAAACGTGCCACACATGTGCCCTATAGGGACTCCAAACTTACGCGACTTCTTCAGGACTCGTTGGGCGGCAATAGTATGACTCTTATGATCGCTTGTGTGAGTCCTAGTGATCGAGATTTTATGGAGACTTTGAATACTCTTCGCTACGCAAACAGAGCCAAGAATATCAAGAACAAAGTGACCGCAAATCAGGATAAGTCGAGTCAAACGATAACAGCTTTGCGCCGAGAAATACAAGAGTTGCAGATAGAGCTACAGGAGTACAAACAGGGCAAACGAATCATCGATGGCGATGGCACTGAAAAGATCAATGATATGTTTCACGAAAACAATATGTTGATGAATGAAGTGGCAAATCTTAGGACAAGGATTAAAGCTCTTCAGGAGACTAATGAACGAATCACTGCCGCCAACACTGAATTGCTTGTGGAGAGGGAGACCGGCAATTGGCTCAACTCGGGAACGGGTGACAAGTCGGACATCTCCTCATTAGTGAAGGGATATATGAAAGAAATCCAGGATTTGACCACAAAATTGATTGAAGTGGAAGAGACCTGTTCTATACTTAGGAAACAGAATAACCGAAGCGGTCACAGACTGTCGATGAGTCCCTATCATGGCGGGGGTGCCGTCGCTATGACCGGTCACTACGACGTCGGCTTCAATGATGAGAAGACAACGAACGAAGTGATCAGTGAAGCGAAGAGAGATGTCTTGAAAATGAAGAGAATATCTAAAATCCGAAAGCGATCTCTTCAGAAGGACAATGGCTCTGACACTAATGGCAACGATATTGACGTAAACAACGGTTCCAGTAATAGTCTGAATGAAGAGAATGAAGATCAAGAAGAGAGCGATTCGGACTCCGATGACGTGGAGGACAGTTCGATGTCTGATGACGAGCAACAAAAGGCTCAGAACGCTATAAACACGGCTGAGAAAGAACTCTATGACTTGACTTCAGAGATATCACTGAAAGAGAAACTGATTATTGAATTAGAAAAGAGTCAGAAAAAGATGTCACAAATGAGACAACAATATGAGGATAAACTTCTTCAGCTCCAGAACAAGATATCAGAAACGGAGTCCGAAAGGGACAATGTGTTGTCAAAACTGAATTCAGTGGGTAATCAGGGCGACGATAAGGCAAAGAAAGTGAAGGATGAGTACCAGAAGAAGTTGAACACATTGCAGACGGAAGTGAAGAAACTTCAAGCGGCCAAACGCGAGCACTCGCAGGCTATGCGCAATCAAAGCGCTAGTGAGACACAGATGAGACAATTGCGGAACGAAGTGATGGAAATGAAGAAACAAAAAGTCAAAATCATGGCCAAAATGAAAGAAGAGACTCAAAAGCATAGAGAGGCTGAGATTCGTAACAATAAAAAGATATCTCAACTCTCGAAACAGGAGCGACAGAAAGACATAAAAATTAGAAGCCTTGAAGTGGAGAGCAATCGATATAAAAGTCTTTTGAAACGCAAAGACGAAGAGTTTAATGCATTGAAGAGAAGATTCAAACCAATGAGTGATAGAGTGGCCGGTCGTATACCGAACGGCGGTTCACGGAAGGGGAGTCGCGCCACACCTTTCTCTCCGGTGGCCGCGAAGATGAAGTGGCAGAAGTTGGAGACAGATATCAACAAAATTGTTTTGAGTAAACAAAATGTTACGCTTCACGAGCGAGCAATGGAAAGGTATCTCCAGCAGAGACAACAGTTGAGCCGATCTCTGGATAGAACTAATCGCAAGTATGAGGCGGCGCTCAGAACCGGTAAACACGAAAACGATATTCGAGTTCTTAAAGAAGAGATCGAAACCATCGAAGCGAACCTTAAATATATCAACGAAAACATCAATGACTTGCAGTCATCTATTGTCCAGTTGTCCGACATTGACAGTGATGTGACGGATATGATTGGTTACCTAAACAGCGATGAAGTCAAGTATCTGTTCAACAAAGTGCTGGCGATGGCGGTCAGCAACTCATTGGTGGCCACACAGAGGGAAGAGGAGAAGAAGGAGATTGAGATGAAGTATAAACAGGTGGCCGACAGTAGTCTCATTCAAGAGCAGCTCCTAAACCATGTGTTGGACACGACTTTCCTCGAGGGCAACGAAGATAATTTGAAATTAGAGGCAGACATTCCCGACCTGAATCCTATTCCATACGATTTTGAGCATCAGTTTGCAATTCCAGCCATTCCTCAGTCCACGCGAACCAGTACTCCATCCAAAGAGAAGGCGCGCCGAACCACTCGTACTCCTCAGGAGTTACTCTTCGATATGACTGTCGACCACAAAAACAATTGCAATAATGATGTCATGACTCAGAGCTTAATCGCGCCAAACATTATCACTGAAGAGTCGGATCTCCAGCGCGTCCCCAGCGCTCCCTCTTTGAAGTAAGACTTTCCTGTTTTATCCATTTTTATCTCTTTTCATACATTTGTTTGATTTATTATTAATTATTTTATACTATTTATACGATTATTACGAACAAATATCATAAGAATTATATAAAAGAGATTTTTAATTTCAATTTTTAAGTAATTTCAAATGCATGTCAACTATATTTTACGAAATTTAATAAAGTCATACAATTGATACACATCTCATTGCATGAAAACACACATTTAATGTTATGTCAATTTTTGTTATGTGTTTTGTTTAGTAGACTATTGTCTAAGTTTACAAATTCTTGATACTCTGTACATATTGTGTAAATGTGCGCAAAATTGTGGCAATAATTGTCGCAATAAGTTGCAAACCATGGTTTGAATCACTTGTACTATACTGTAAAATCTCTGTTCATTTGTTCCGTGCAATGCAGGGATTGTCTATACTTTGCCCCCAAATGTGAACTCTTTTATTCTCCTGCTTTCAAACGCAAAACCTACGAACGATTGCCTATTGTTAATGAGCCGACACTCGCACGTCGGATGCGAACCGCAACGCTCTCCTCCTCAGGAAATTCTCTCTCTTCTAATCAACCGCTCACTTATGTCTCCAGACAGCTCTCACAGTAAGACATCACTCGCTTTACCGCTTTCTGTCTGTCTATATATCTGTCAAACCCACCCCTCCCTACCCCTCACGTGGTTTTGGTGAAGGTTTTGGTTCTAAAAGTTTTAAACTTTTAAAAACACTCACAACTTATATTTGATTTTGAGTACAAACATTAATACCGATTAATATGATTTGAATTCTAACAAAACGTTTTCTCACAAATAATCAAACGTTGAATTTAAACGAAAACCTATTTAAACAGGGAATTGAGTAGTGAAACAACACCTCCCGTCTCCCCCTCTGTCCAGAGGAGGAATCGCGACGCCGCCGGCAATGTCTTCTCTAGACTAACCAACGGCTCCATAACTAACAATCCATTAAATATCGATAGGTTTGTCGATTGTCTCAATCCCTTTGCAATAACTGCTGATTATTGATAACCATTTCATTAAGTTTTCTAAAATTCTTGATTCATTTGAATTGAATTGTAAATCGTTTCAGAGCTGGAAATATAGTTCCCTTTACGGGAAGAAGTGATAAAAGTTCGCCTCTGGTCTGCACACACACTGCCGGTGAGAAGGCTTTACTTTTTCTAATTTATTTCTCGTATAATTTCAATTGTTTTGTCATTTATTAATATTTTTCCTATAAATTTAAACTTATTATAAAATATTATTTATATTATGAAATGCTTTCTAAATGAAAGTCAATTGCGATGAGTGGGTAGACCTGACGCCCATACATATAATTTAATGACTGATGACTTAATTATTTCAATGTTTTTCCAATTAATTACTTCCACTCCCAAATTTAGTTAATTAAACTCGTTTTGTTAGCACTTAAGTTAATTAAGCCCTTGAATGGAATTTAACATAAATTTGTTAATAATTTTAATTAATGATAATTTAAACAGAAGGACACACGAGACCAGTACTTAGTGTTGTGGCCACTAATGATGTCCTGTTTAGTGGCTCTAAAGGTAACCCAAATTTAATAAATTGATTAAAAAATCATTGCATTTTCTAAATGCTTTTCATTGATAGACTGTTCCTTAAAAATATGGGACTTACAGACGGGTCAGGAGATCCAATCAATCAATGATCACCCGGACTCTGTCCAAGTGGTCCGCTATAATGAATACAATAGACTTGCGTTCTCAGCGTCCAAATCATTCATTAAGGTGTGGGACCCGAGAGATAGTCCGGCCCGTTGTATCAAAACACTTAAGTATGAATACAAATTTCAATGAAATATAGTATATTAGTCCAAAGTTTAATAATATATTGTTTGTCGTAATAGTTCTTCAGGTCTTGTCAGCCAAAACACGTCCACTAACCTCAACACAACCAAAGCCGAGTTGGCACCGGGAGAGGCTCCCATCCTAGACGTCCAATTAAGTACTTATGGCACCACACTATTCAGTACATGTTCACGAATTGTTAGGGTTTGGGATCTCAGAATGTATGCCCTATTTGACTTGTGATGCAACATTTCTATCAATATTTAAATATTTTTAATGATATTAATTTAGGTTTCATTGCATCGGAAAGTTAAACACTGGACATAAGGCGGACATAATGTGTTTGGCCGTAGAGGAGGCCGGTGTTGATAATAATTTAGTGATAACTGGATCTAAAGATCATTACATAAAAGTGTTTGAAATGATCGAAGGGGTGGGAGGTATACACAATCCGAAGATGAGCCTAAAGCCACCCCATTATGACGGCATCGAAGCCCTCAAAATTAGCGGTGATTTCCTATTTTCCGGTAGTCGTGACGCCTGTATCAAGAAGTGGGATCTTCAGAGTCAAAGACTGGTTCAGTCGCTGAACAACTGTCACAAAGATTGGGTCCTAGCGTTGAACACAATGCCGAACAGCAATACACTGGTCAGTGGCTGCAGAAGTGGACAAATGAAACTCTGGTCAACAGAGAACTGTCAGCTCATGGGTGATATCAAAGCACATACCAGTGCTATTAACTCAATCGACACCAACTCGAGCCTTGTGTTCACCGCTTCATCCGATAATACAATAAATCTGTGGCGTTGGAGGTCTACCGACCCCTCACCCGATTATATCGATTGTCTAACTGAGTGATAGTCTTCAATATCAAAATGTATCCATATTTTAGTTGTTTTTTAAACAAGATTTTAGTCAATTTTATCTCAATTCATATCTTCCATAAAAATCATAGGTTTTTACGGCAATTACTTTACACTTTGAGAGAAATCCTAATCTTTTAGATTTTTTTTGTATATAAAGTGAAATAATTTTTTTTGTTTTTAGTTTTTTGCATAACTACTAAAATGTGATTCCATTCCATATTATATTAATTTATATCAATTTTTAAATACTGTCCGAACAAATAGTAAACACTATTTAAAAATGAATAATAGATTTATACTCTCTAATGAAACAAATTTGTATTTTGACAAAAAACAATCGCCTAATTATTTATTTAACAATTAAATACTTTAATGACATTAAAAACAAATTATTTAATAAAATGAAACAAATTTACAAAATAGAGACTAGTTTTGCATTTCTCCCTTAATAAGTGTTATTTACGGTATTATATAATGTGGTACTGTATGGAAAAACTGATTAATTTCTCCGATAAGCACTGGTAGCAAAAAGTGTTACGAATGATGGATGAATGAGATGATGGTATTGAGAGGATGACTACATGGCATACCTTCCCTGTCTGTGGCGCTCATAAGGCACGGACGAAGCAGAAGCGCCGCAATACTCGTTATAAATAAGTTTGGCCAGAAATATGTGAAATATCACGATTAGGAATATAATGAGAATCCAGAATATGGTGGGAAGTCCGCCATAACTGGTGCCGAATCGATGCACTGCCAGAACCTCGTGTTCGTGTGCCGGCGCTTCTGCGATCTCTNCCAGAAATATGTGAAATATCACGATTAGGAATATAATGAGAATCCAGAATATGGTGGGAAGTCCGCCATAACTGGTGCCGAATCGATGCACTGCCAGAACCTCGTGTTCGTGTGCCGGCGCTTCTGCGATCTCTTTCACATGAATGGTATGCTTTAGTTCTTTAATGTGTTGTTCGTCTGGTGTTATGTATAGGATTGCTGTCAACGGTTCCGTCTTCTTGACGGGAAATTCTTTCGGAATAAGACTTAAACTGAAAGGCAAACCAATAGTTAAACAATTGCTACACAAAGCAAAGGCATACCTGACGGGCGCGTCCAGACAGCCGGCATCGCAGGCAAAGAACTGTTTGTTGTTTGCCTTCTTGTCGAGAGAGACATAGATCTGCGCCTTATTGTTGTCCTGAAGCGCAACCGTTATGTTAATGAGTGTTTCGTTTCCGTAAATAATTCTTCGGATGTAATAATTTCTGTGTAATTCATTTGGATGTGTATTGAACTCCAAGTGATGTTTCGTGAACTGAAGCGATGCCATACTTAAGATCATTGCCTGCATAACGCCGTGCGATCCGGAACTGATTAAGTGATGACAGCCTTGTTTCTCGAGTGTCAACAGCCATAAGTTGGCGATTCTGTTCACATCATTCAAAGTGTCTAATTTGGACCATAATGTGGACGCCTGTAGTGTCGAGTGTCCGTTATAGCAATGATCCGGTGATAATAGAAGTGCTTTACTTTGAGATATTTTGTGCCCAAAATCACTTAAACTCATTAATTCGGAATCATATGGAAGTGTATTTGTTTGAGACATCAGGCAATAAAGAGTTGCATTAATCAGATCTCCGTTCAAAGCGTTGGGAGCCATCGAGTGACTTATGCCGAAACCACTGCTCCAGAGGTCGTTCCACATC